TCTGTCACTGGGCTTTTATTATATAGGATATTCTTTTTTTAGTGCATCCTCATATTATAATGGGTTCATCTAAAGACACACCACACCATTTATTCACCATGAACTTAACTATCAGCTACAATCCCCAAATTCTTCCATATATACTGTTGCTGAACCACATCTAAGACTAAACTTGTCTTATTAGTATTTTAAAATAATTATTGCAATTTGGAAGCTTTTAGTATAATCACAAACTTGTGTAACTATTATTGCTATAATTCCAGTATATTTTCATTACATCCAAAATAAATTCCATACCCATTAGCAGCTGTGCCACATTTTTCACTCCTGAAAACTACTAATCTATTTTTTTTTATCTATGCATTTTTCCATTCTGGACATTTTGCATAAATAGAATCAGAAATTAGCCTGCCAATTTACCCGAACCACTGTGATTAGAAGTTAACAAAAAATGCTCAGAACAAAAACCTCTAACATTTGGAGAATAAGGTCCTTATTATTAACCCTGGCTCTCTCAGTTTCTTTTTTCATTTTTAATTGATTTTTTTAGTAGAGGGTGGCTTTGACTCTCAACTTACTTTTTTCTCTTTTAGTTGACTTTGTTGGGGTGACATTGGTTCACAAAACCATACAAGTTTCAAGTGTACAATTCAACAAAACATCATCTACATACTGCATGGGGCATCCATCGTCCCAAGCAAAGTCTTCCCACCTCCCATTTACCCCCCTATACCACCTCCACCTACCCACCTACTATCCCTCTGGCTAACACCACACCTTTACCTTCTTTCATTCACTCTATCAACACACCCCCTTCTGACAGCTGTCAATCTGTTTCATGTATCCATGCTTTTGTTTTATTTTGTTTGTCAGTTTATTTTGTTCACAAGATTCCACATATGGTATTTGTCTTTCTCTAACTGGCTTATTTCACTTCATAATAATCTCTCCAGGAAGGACCCCTATCTTTTTACTTAAATTTAAGTCTACTCTGTATGAAGATTTGTAACCCTCTCTCTCTCTCTCTCTCTCTCTCTCTCTCTCTCTCTCTCTCTCTCACACACACACACACACACGCAGTTGAGTAGTATTCCATTGTGTAAATGTACCACATTTTTTTATCCGTTCATCTACTGATGGGCATTTGGACTGTTTCCAGACCCTGGTTATTGTCCATAATGCTTCAATGACCATAGAAGTTCATGAATTCCTTTGAATTAGTGTTTTTGGGATTTTTCGAATATATTCCCAGAAGTGGGGTCACAGGGTCATAAGGAAGTTCCATTTTTTATACTGTTTTCCACAGTGGCTGCACCATGTCTGCATTCCCACCAGCAGTGCACAAGGGCTCCCTTTTCTCCAAATCTCCACTAGCAGTTGTTGTTTGTTGATTTATTGATAATAAATCTGACAGGCTGTGTGGTTTTAATTTGCATCTCTCCATGATTAGTGACATTGAACATTCTTTCATATGTCTATTGGCCATCTGTATGTACTCTTTGGAGAAGGGTCTATTCATGTCCTTTGCCCATTTTTTAAATTATGTTGTTTGTTTTCTTGGTGTTGAGTACTATAATTTTTTTATATACTTTAAAAATCAACCCCTTATCAGACGAACATGGCAAATATGTTTTCCCATTCAGCATAGTCCCTTTTCATTTTGTTGATGGTTTCTTTTGCTGTACAAAAGCTTCTCAGTTTGATGTAGACCAATTTGTTTATTTTCCCCTTTGTTTCCATTTCCCAAGAAGATATATCAGCAAAATATTGCTACAAAAGATGTCTGAGATTTTACTGTATATGTTTTCTACTAGGATTTCTATAGTTTGGTGACTTATACTTAAGTCATAAATTCATTTTGAGTCTATTCTTGTGTATGGTATGAGTTGGTGATCTAGTTTTTTTTTTTTAATTTAAATCTTTATTGTTCAGATTATTACATTTGTTCCTCTTTTTTCCCCCATAACTCTCCTCCACCCAGTTCCCACCCCACCCTCCGCCCTCACTAGCCACCCACTGTCCTCATCCATAGGTGC